ATTACCGGTGAGACCAGGCTGCCATGTCGTCTCTCGCAGCAGCGGTGTCTATTCTTATGAGAATAGAAACCTTTATTATACGCCTTGTCAGTAAACTCATATCGAGCCTGCTAAAAAAATGCTTCCAGCGAGCATGCCTCCCGCGTGAGACTGCAGGCCAAAATTGGTTACCATGGTAAAAGAAACCAACGACAAATCTKTTGTTTAACACCACAAGATGCCACAAGATGGCGGCTATGACGTCATATATATCCCTCAATTTGTCAAAACCAAGTGAGCGTGACTCGCGAGTGTTCGAGTGGTTACCTTGTGGAAGTGTTGACAACAAACTGGTGGACTCTTGACAAATGGATGTAAAATAGAAAAAATAATAGTGGAGTAAAAATTTATGGAAAGAACTTTCTGTAGACAAGAAATACAGAGAACATGTCATACACATAATAAAACTGGATCTGGTGAGTAAAGTAAGCTCAGTATTCGGTGATAAATTGGACTGATTAGTTCATGATGTGAAGTCTTGATATGAAATGTGTTGACGGATTGGTGTGAACATCAGTCATAAATGTTTGTCTTCATGTTGATGTTGATTTTATAAACTAACTGAAATCTTTTATTTCCACTTAAAAAGAAAGCTGGGAAGAAAATGAAGTTATTTTTTCAATTAAAAATGTTAATTTAACCAGTGCTTTCTATATGCTTCTAGTCTTTTGTTTCCCAGCTTGTACAATTGGCAAGAAAGTTTTACGTCTAGATCCGACCACTGCTCATATCTGTAACAGACTAATCTTGCTTATTTAATATTTTCAAAATATGTATGAAAAAAATGAATTTGTTTCCATTCTTTTAAGAACAGCAGCCAGTTTGATTTAATAAAATTAAGACATTAATAATTGACAACTTTAATTGATTCTATTATACAAATTAATTAGAACAATATAATCCAATTTAAAACAACTGAAAAACAATTCAAATACGACACCTCATTTTTCTTCATAAACAGATTGGTTTCTCTTTTGAGCTGCCTACTATCCTTGAGAAAGATATTTAACATGAAATTCATATCCATTGTATCATCAATGTATTGTAACTATCTTTTATATTCCTCTTTATACAAAATTTTTCTCAATATGTAATCTCTCTTGGATGGAATAATAATTAAATGATGATGATGAAAAATAATGATGATTAGCTCTAAATTCACATGGTAATTTATCTGTGTTAAAGAAATATTTTCGGAGCTTTCTTTTAATAGGCTTTTTTGACAGTACCATTCACTTGCCTGCCCGGCTCTTGATTTTTGACGTGTACCAGCAGCATTACTAACCAATATGGCGGAAATCCGAAGAGAGATATAGGCCCCTTGCAGTACGTCGCAATGCAGCTCAATTTGGAGGACATAACATTAGGTTTCCAATTCTCAGGAGATCAGTTGAAATTCTTCTGTTTTGTCCTCCAAATTAAGCTGCTTTGACGTCACATGCAAGGGGTCTATTCAATAGTTTATTTCTTCATCGCAGGGATGATTTGAATGTACGTGGAATTGGCGATGAAAGACATTTGGGTGAAGGCTTTTTTGATCTTCTGTCACGTCATTGTCTGTGTAGCCCCTGCAAGTATCCTAGGTGAGCAAAGCTTTAGATGATAATATCAATTATCTTTATATATTTAATAAACTCTGTTAATGTTACGTATTTTTTAGAGAAATCAAAATATAAATCCTTGTACGACAAGATCTACGGTGATTCAGATAAATCATGGATGAACATTGGAGATTGTGGACAAGGACTTGGTATGTATACCTGACAACGAAGTAACGTAATGCGCATGCTCAGACGTTGGTGGCAAATTGGCGTACCTACTCAAACAAATTTTTTCTCTTTACTTTTCTAGCTTGTGGTCCAGATTGCCAGCTGCTTTGTTTAAAGATGCACAACTATTATCGCGCTCTTCATAATTCTCCACCTCTCGTTTGCGATCACGAACTCGCAAAATCAGCTCAGATGTGGACAGACGAAGAAACTGCAAAGGGAAGAATAATGCACTCACGACGAAGAGACAGATTTTCCGAAAGCATATCTTGGATACGAAGTGGTTACGAAGGAATGGACAAGATGAAGGGAGCGATTCCAGGAGCCATCAGAGGATGGTACTCGGAGCTTAAAAATGATTACGATTACGATACTGGAAAAGGAAATTGTAGAACGATCTGTCATTTTATGCCCGTGGTTTGGAAAAGCCATACAACAATAGGCTGCGGACTTAATATTAAGCCAAACGATGGAACGTATGTTACAGCTCATTTAGGGCCATTATCTGATGGACCTTCTAACGATTTGGCACTTGCCAGGCAAAATGTTCTTCGGAGAAAAGCATCAGGTATAAGAGTAGCTTGATGACATCAGTTTTTTTTTTAAATACTCGCCACCTTTACCTTATCCCGATTTGAAAAGCTAATCGAAGTAGTAGCTGAACTTCCTCAATGACTTTCTTGCTTGGAAAGTTAATAAACGGATGTAAATCGTGTCTTATCATACCCCTCTTTTTATAGGAAAAAAGAATTTGGAACTCGAAAAAAAAATTGTGTGATGAAACCCAAATCACATATTTAATGCCTGTTATTTAACTGAGTGATTTATTGATSTCTGATAACAGATCCTCAGTGTGATGTTCCCTCGTCTGAACGAGTCGACTGTACTCCAAGGCTCAAGTCGCCTTACGTCACTCCCGAGGAGTGCAYAGMAGCAGGCTGTTGCTATGACGACTTRTTTATGTCAGAACCAAATGTCCATTTCTACGAACCRGAGGGGAAAACATGGTGCTACCTAAAGAAGAAAGGTTAGGAATTTTCTTATATGCTTTGCAGTTGACCTCTATGGAATTTGTGGCATTTCAATCGTATCTCCATCTTGGTCTCACATTCAAAATAATTTTAAGAAGGATGCATGTTAAGATTTTTGCAGAAAATATTCTTTGCTTGTTTTGGGAATATATGGTCATCGAATTCTTAAACAAAGATTCTGTTTTTTAATAGGACAATATTATTTTCCTGCCATGCTTCAGAATGTCGGGAAAGAACCTTCTCCTGAACATGATGGACCGCGAAGCCCAAACGGTGTGAATCCATATCCAAGTAGTAACTCTCTTCAGGTTTATCGTATAAATAGTGATAGCCATACAGTAGTCATGAACAAGCCTTCAGCAGCAGAAGTCAGTCTGTTGCCAATTATCGCACCACATAAAGTTACAAAAAATTGTGACCAGCAAATGAAATCTAATGGAGGGTGTATATTAGTAAAACAAGTTCCATGTCCAGATCAAAATCAATCAGGAAATAGCAATGA